AAAAAAAAAAGCACGTCGTAGCCGACACACTTCGGTTTTCTCTGCTGCGCACGGCTCATTTTTAAAAGGGAATTCTTGTTAAGAGTCCAATTCCTTGGTTTCGGGTATCGAAAGGTTCTCGACACTTTGACGGTCATAGCTGGAACCTCGAAGATCACGAGGGTCTTCGAAGTTTGAAATATAATCTATAGGAAAATTGCTGACGTTCAGGACCTGTTTTCTCTCGTGCCGTTCAAGCGATTGCAATGAAATTTCGCTCAAGTAAACTGGTTATAGCGGCAAATATATCGAAGATATTTTCCAAATTCCTTGACTCGCCGCACAAGTTAGATCGAACCTGCTTTCTCGGATCCCGAGAAAGACGCCGAGTTTGTTAAGAATTCTTTTCGTAGGAGGAGCCGAGAACGCAATCACGGTCAAAAGCAGGGATCGATTTAGGATATTCGTATCAGCGGCCAGAGACATTCTCGAGGATCAAAGGCCCACCCCCGCCCGCGTCGTAAAACGAACATCAAGGAAAGCGTAACGGCGTAAAAACTACGTTTATCGCGATTGCAAAAATGGTAAAATAGCGATTGGCTTTTACGTTTCATTCTCTCTGTATATATATATATATATATACTTCTTTCACATGTATTTTGTGTGTGTTGTTTTGTTTCTTTTTACGTTTCTCTCATCGTCTTCCGTTGCGTACTCCTCTATCGTGCCACCGTTGCTCGTCCTCCCCCTTCGCGTGTTCTCTCGTCACTCGGTACGGGTTAATTATTACAAAGATGCTTGTACAATAATATAATAATATAATATAGACTCTGTATTAGTTACAATAATATCGTAGCATCCTACCCTCGCGATCGATCGGTCAGTGTCCGCTTGTCCCTTCGTTTCCTTTTCTCCCTTCGCCGCACTCGCTGGTCGCGAACAATCCGATCGGACGAACCAATATACAATAGAATCAGAGGTGGGCGAAATTCTCATCTAGATGAAAATGCCAAGTAACAAATGAAACGTGAACAACCTCTGAATTCGTTCGATGAAACTACGAAGCTTGAATTATAAAATGAAGCTATATATCGTGGCAATAATTGTGAGTACTTATACGGTGGTTTTATTAATCCATTGCTCGAATTAAATTTCGCCCATCTCCAAGTAGAACATCTCTGGGTCCAACGTTCGCGATCTCCTTCGGTACAGATCCTCTCTTGAAACGCAACGTTTTTCGTGCACACGGTTGAGCCATTGCGTGAGTTTATTGCTTATTGCTTATGTTAACGTGCGCGCCCCGAGGTCCCGAGAAAGTAATTCCTTCGCGATTCAAAGGTTTACTTTCGAACACGCGCGGCGTGTTATTATCGACCATGTACAACCTGAGACGTTCGAAACAAAAACCACCCAAACGACTGGGTCACTTCTGATGGGAAACAAAATGGTGGTTTCAAAGGAGACGAAATACGATATCGTTAATTTTTATGTCCGCGACTTCGTATAAACTTCGTGTTTCTTTCGCACCTTTATCTACAAAAAAACAAATTGCATCAGCTTGCGCTCCTCTCGAAACCAAGAATCGTTTCAATCGTTCTTGTCCACCGTCAAAAATAACCGAGTTGTCCCAGCGACCCGTCCAAGCGCCACACTCTGTATAACATCTTCAGCGCAGGGTGAATCGTAAATCGTACGCCATGCCGCTTCTTGCCACACTCGTTGCAAGGAATTACATTTTGATTCGACCTGCGACGCCGCCATGGCCAGCTTCCTTCCTCTTTTTTCGGCTCTTTAATAAAATATTCCCACAATCCCCGTTCTCTCTTGGTCTGATAGAGTCTGAACAAGTGGCCGATTTGTCTCGCGCGTTTCGATCTTCGATTCATCCCCTCCTCTGCGATCCACGCGGATAAACCTTGAATAATCGCCCTCGCGGGAATTTCTCTCCGAGACCCGTCGACGCTTCAAAACGAGAAACAACCAAGATCATGGCCGAGGAAGAATCAGAGCCGTGTTCCATCGAGATTCCGGGCCGCAGTGCACCGAAGGGTCGAGGAAAGTCCGACGTGACACGACACAACGGCACGGACAGCCCATCACAGTTACAATTTTACACTTTACACATCCTGCCACCGATTGTTTCCACCTTCGAACGTTCCCTCGCTCCCTTCCGCGCTGGTCCGAGGGTTTGTGCTTCGATGGTTGCATCAATTTGGATGCACCTGATAGGCAGAGACCCCAGAAAAATTTGCTAAAAATTAGGAGGACGTTAATTTGAAAATTAAATTTATGCAAGCAAAGATGCTTTATCACAAACTTCTCGAATACCATAGCAAATCGCATAGCCTTGCAAGAATACTACCTTCTCGAATGTGTTTCACCGCTTCCAAAATTACTCCAGTCTTTGTATTTCCAAAAATTAGCCAATGTACCAAAATGTTGTATTGTTCCATCGTTAACTGTACTATTCATAGAAAATTATGAACTGGATGCATAACAGGTTGCTCCAAGAATATCGGCGTTCTTAATGTGTCGGCAAATGGATTCAGCGACGGCCTTCGTTAGTACCCGTTTCCTGAATTAATTAATCGAATCGTTGAAACACTCGTTGCCTTGACATGCCAGAAATATTATCCATGTTGGCGTTCCGGGCATCGTTCATATTTAACTGCGTGTACTCTAAATACTGTCAGAGATAAACTCGAAAATAGAGGGCAGACAAAAGTTCAACGACATTGTAAATTTAGACGAAAGAGCTATGACACTTTTAAATCTTTCGCGATGTGCTATCGATAGGTATTCTTACAAAGAAATGTGTGTTTATGCTCGAGAAGTTATAATTACCTCGTTTAGTTTAATTTTCCAACTCGCAAGCGTTCAGAGTGCATCTTTATTTTGGTACAAATTGGGAAACGTGGGAACGTTAGGCTTTGATTCTTTCCTCGTGCCTCTCATCTCTCGATTCCCCGACGCGCCAAATAATCCTACTACACGGTAGATTGTATTGCGTTGAGAATTACCTCCTTAAATACTTTGACACACTTCCGCTATACACACACCCGTCGGTGTCGATTCAATCTCTCACCCATCACGATCACTCTCCTCGCAGGAACGAACGTTTTACTCGGCAAAGGATTTTCGTGTATTTTTAATAAATCCGCGGGCATCGATCGTTCATCCAGCTCTCGAAACATCGTGGACTCGAGAACGACGCGGTCTTTTTTATATTATCACGCGATAGAAAAATAATGCAGGTAATCGGAAGCTTTGAAACGTGTATTTTTTTCCAACGGCCAGAGGCTATTACAGCTATTATATAATGGCCACAGCGAACCGTTCAGCTACAACGCGGCTGATAGTCCTTTGTGCCCATTGCGTAACAGCTATAGCGCGATCAACTTTTAATACGCTCGTTAATATCTGACGCGGTAACTGAATCTCGCTGAATGGACAGAAAAATCTGTTGTCGAAGTGAATGCGGAACTATCCTTGTTTCGTAGGATTAAACTTTTGAATGTTAGTAGACTCGATGGGAAGTAGCGACCTGTGGCGGGACCCTCTATTTCAGGTGTATGCAGTTAACGGTGCGTGCAATTGGAACCCTCTATCGCGTCAACTTTATCTTCGTTTTCCAAATTAATAAGAAATTAACCTAGATATAATTTCTGTTTCATAAAACAAAAGAAAATTCACGCGAGAGAAGGTACCTTTTACTCTTGCATCCGTGACAAGTGAAATAAGGGACACAAAGACCATAGACTCTAATCTACAGGGTGGAAAAGGCCGATGGCGCATCGACAAATGCGGTTCTCGATGTTTCGAGCGTCACTCTCTCACTCTCTCGCTCTGAAATAGCAATATAATTATAACTTACAAAATACACGGCACGCTCGTTCACGGTGCGCTCGATGAGGTCGTGGAAACAAAGGAGCATCCGGCGTGAAAAATGTTTGCCGAGTAAACAGCCCACCCCCTCGCTTCTTATTAAAGCTATTCTCTATGTAGTTTCTATCTTAAAAGATAACGACCGTCGTCGGTCGACCGTCTTACTGGCTATAAAACGAGATGTTGGTTTCGTTCGTCCGTTATGTTCCAGGGAATGGGGTTTGGGGGTGGCGGGGATGCGGCAGAATCGATCCGTCAGCGCGAATCCGATCAATCGTGCGCCGCGAATCGCGCTCTCGCGATATGGTCGTGACCATGAGAACTCGCGCAGTTGCATCCGTTCGTCGGCTTTGCCCGACCATTTAATTAGCTAGTGCCTACGAGCTACAATCGGTAAAAAACCTACTGGCCAGGGGGGAATTCGTGCTCCCGACTCCACGACCTCCCCTGTTTCAGGAACAAACAGACTTCCCTGTCTCCCCTTCCCCGTCGACGAAGGAACAAACTCTCCGCTCGACGAGCGTGTCCTCCTTTTCTCTTCGCCATGGAAAACGTCCGGCTCGATCGGATCCGGTTCTCCTTTGCGAACCGTCTTCCACCCCTCGTCTGATTTTCTTCCTGAACGAGGTGAATCCCTCTTACACGAAAGAAATCAGCGTTTTGCCTCTCGTCCCTTTATTACAGTCGACATGTACGTTTCGTTCTCAGTCATCGAATCGAATCAGGGGGTGCCCCTCTTGCCTGTAACGAAACGTCCACCCTCCCCTTCTGCCCTCCACTCGAGACACGATTTTACGCCGTTTCCCCGTTTACTTATCGGTTTCTCTCTTTTCCACCGTTTCACCCTCGTTTTGCGAGACATTCCGACGATCGTGCGAGCACGAATCTCTCCCGACATATCAGAGAGGCTAACAGGAGCCACGGACGCGAGCGTTCCAAGCCAGAGAATCGATTGTTCCTTTCTTTTTTCTTCCTCTTCCTGTTTTCGCTTCCTGTCGTTCGCCCCGGACGCTCGACCGATCTTCTTCTGGTGATTTCGCGACGAAGGCGAGTACGTATAATATATATATAATTTATATATATATATATATATATATATATATATATATATATGTATATATATGTATATATATATATATATATATATTTATATATTTATATATTTTTTTATACACATGTACCACCATTCGGGTCTTCGTCACTCACACGGTGTGTCCGATAACGTAGATTACCAAACGTCGATTTAACGGTCGCGAGATCGTCGTCCGTTCGATTAAAATCACCTGTATATCGCGACGATCGCCGTCAGGGTGACGATCATCAGGTACGTCGACCGTGCGACGATGCCACCGTTCTCCTCCATGCATTGACCTGAAACAGAAATGTTATCTCGCGTTAGATAGAGAAAGGTATCATACTTCAAAGGTTAAGGGTTGGTTTTTAACGGTACAAGACATTCGAAAATTAAAAATAATATAATCTAAAATCAGTGGGATCAAGATTTATCGCGAAAGGGAAAGCTCATCTGGTAATTACTCTGATCAATTAATTTATTCAACGGTCAACGTTTTTTCCCCCCTCGCTGATCGTAAAGCTAATATTTGGCGTTCAAAGCATCGGAAGAAAGAAATTACTGTTGTTCCGCGACAGGTCCGAAAACAACGCTATTCTTTTAACACGTTGACTGCCAAACAAATATTCTTTAAAGTTTCTACTAAAATGAAATATTATTTAAACTATTGGAGACTGCATAATCAAACATTTGTCGTCGCATTTACTCTTGTAATTCCATCAAAATTCATGAATTTGGTATAAATTCATTTCCTTTGATGCTTGACATTCGGAATTAATTTCGTTAGTTCTTCAGTGGAAAGCACTGTCACCCACATGTGGGTAACGTGGCGATCAACGTGTTAATTACTTACAATTCCCCCGTCCTACACTTTCATTCGGTAATTGAGAGTACGCATCACGAGTCCGTTCGAACTTTCGGGCAAACAAAGCTGCAAGGTGATTTGATGGTTAAGTCGAAAGTCGTCCGTTAAGTCCACATCAAAGCGAGGCGTCCCGAGACGGCGACTGGTGTTGATTGCTCGCGTCTGATCATGCGGGCGAATTCTACTTACGGGGACCATCAATTGGTTTTCTCTGATTTTATGTGAAATATTCTTTAACGGTTGATATTGGTGCCAAATTTGCAAAAACATTTCCAATTTTTTCTATTACATTATCTGCAATATTTAGAGTAAGTATCGAGTTAAAATAAACATAACAAACACTTTTTGATGCTCCATCTACGCACAAAGTTTCGTCGAAGTAGATGACCGTCGATTGGTCCATGGTGCTTGATAGCAGCAACATTTAATTCGACGTTTATCAACGAATTGTCACGGTACATTTGTCAAGAGAAGTCGCCTATACGTCGCAGTAGATTATGCATAGCTGTCGCGCACCGCTTGCGACGCGAATTCAACCGACGCGTCGGATGACAATTGCTGACGCTACGCTTTTGATTGGACGCTGCAGTCTGTCGTTCTGTCAAACTGCATTGAACGTCTCCTGGCGCGAAAGCAACTGGAAATCGGGTGTCCCTCTTCGCTTTTCGACAGATCTAATATGTTTCTTTCCTAGACGAGGACCGTTCGAGTAAAACTTTTGCGAAAAATATCCTCGCTTTTAATAGTCGAAACTTCTAACAAACAACTCTGACACTAGAAAAATGGACGACATGCGAACATACACACGCCAATACATACAGGATTTTCACTATTTTTCAAAGAACTTAGTATCGATACTCCATACGTGGAACCCATACAGTGATAACATACCAAATTTCATGTTTTCTTGATAAAGATACATACAAACGTACACACGACCATACGTATGGAATGTTTGCGACCAGTTTTTATTTTGTATATGTGGATACAGAGCACCTCGAAACGTCGAGATACGCGAAAAAAACCAAGGTGGTAAATTTTGACGGATGGCAACGCTCCTCCGCGACTAAAAGCCGGGGATGTACAATTTTCGTTGGTAAAAGGGCTTCCTGGTCGAGTAAAGCTCAAAAACGCCCGGCAATATCGGTCCTCGATGTAATTGGAACACGGCAAAAGTGAAAAACATTGGAAAGAATCTAAAAAAATAGCCAAATATTGACAACCTGTATAGCAAAAACGAGAGAGCACAATTTTTTTTGTCGAAAGGCGAGTAACTGCGATACAAAGAGCATTTCGCCGTGTCCGTATCGATACGTAATACACGTTACAGCGCATAGAATTCGAAATTGTGTTTAACAAAAAGAACCCACCGACGAATGACACGCAGATGCGCGAATAATACACCGAGTTTGGAGTTTAATCACGCGAATCCAGCGGCTCCTTCGGCGAGGGACGCGAAATCTGCAGCGAAACACAGCGGCAAACGAACGGTTGGAGTAGCGACGGGGAAACAAAACTGAAGGATCTTCACTGGAGTGACAAGATAACAGTTAAGGTTCCGAGGACGCTTCAGATTGAAGCACCGAGAAAAGTACAATATAGTTTGATAACATCAAACGAATCGAGGGGCTCGAGTCGAGCGTATTTTTCCGACGACAAAATTGCAAATAATCGCGTTGAACGAAAGTTATTAGGGACGAAGTTTGCATACTTTCAGACTCGAGTCTCGATCAGTCGTGTTGCGAAATAAATTCCATCGATTCTCGCGGATAATATAACGAAGTGTTTGTGGTTCCCTTGGTATTCTTCTGATATCAATGGGAAAGAGAGAACTAGGGAACTTTCTTCACGTATGGTCGCCAGAAATCGCCCACGATTCCGAAGGTGAGGGCGAACCAAGCGTCCCTAAAATAACCGAGCGTAATTGAAAAAAAAAAAAGTATCCCAAGTCGAGTCCTAATGGACGAGATCGGAGGAGAAAAAAAAACAGAAGGATCGAGGGGAAGAGGCGAGTGTCGTGAAAGCTGTCTAATTCCTTCGACAATGGGCTCCGTTAGGAATGGAGACGGGTGGGGAAGGGGGCAGGAGGCCAAAATCTCGAGACAAAGTGCTCGAACGACGGAACATTCGCAGCAGTTGCGGGACAAAACCGTTAGGTTCTCGCAGCGGAGACGCGTCCTCGGCACGGCAGTCAAGATCTTAAGGATACTCTCGAACGAAGTGGTCCGAAGGATGATGGGGTATAGGGGGGTTGGTACTCACCGGTACTGGTAGCATTGAAGGCCAACATAGGCGGGGGCGGGGGTATTCCTCTTTGGCAAGCCACCTCGCTGGCAGTTAAACTGACAACTCCGCCGCTCTCTTTGTACATGAAGCACAATCTTCGGCTGTTCCTGTAGGGCTGGGGTCTGTTGCTTTCGCCGGTCCACGTTGTCCCGGGCGCCAGTTGGGTGGCGATCACGAATTGGGTGCCCTCGGCGTCGAACCATCTACCGTGGCAGGAGTAAGCTGCGAAAGAGAAAGGCACCGAGCCCTTATCGTCTCCGAAGGGAACGAACTTGCTGGATAATGGTGGGAGGTATATCTCGAGCCGGTCGTTACCCCTCGAGTGCCATTATCCTCTAAATAAACTTTGACAACCTTCCGGGGCTGAAGGGGAGGGGGGGGGGTGGACTTGAATGCCAACGAAATAAAAGCCCTTCAACTAACGACGAACCGGATCTATACCATTACTCTATCGTTAATGCGATTTTAATTATCGACGATTCTCGCCAGTCTCTATCCAGTTGATAATTCGAACGCGACGGACCGCGCCGTTCCAACGTTTGCGACCGGGATTCAATTTTTCAGCGGGTTCCATCTCTAGCGAGATCGTGTCTACGTTATCTAGTGCAGGAGTCGGTGTACCGATTCTGAGAAAGCCCACAAATGTACATAATTTTTTCCGTGAAAACTGGACCATTGGTTCTCATTGTTCAATGCCTCCTCACGCGAATGGGTACTGTAATATATTGAAATTCATCTACGATAATAAGCAAACCACTAATGGACGCGTCACATTAATAATACTCCGTGATATCGAAACAGCAATTTCGTGATTCTATCAGGCGTTCGGCTGTAGTTTATCGATCCCTAGTTTAGACCACAGACTGTGGAGTGTTTCGTCGAAGTGTTTTGTTCAAACACAGGTCGTATCGTAACATGTGAGAGCAATTCAGCGCCGGATTGGAATCACACATAGGACAAGGTTCGCATAAACACGTGCCCTATTTGCACTCGTCTGTTCTAGTCATGTTCATCCAACATGAAACGTTTTAATAAAGTCGAGAAAAGTATAATCACTTCAATACCTCTGTATCGTGTTGCGATTTATCTTCAGAATGAATGCAACTCTGCAAATGTTTTGCCAAAAAACTTTCTCAATTTTCCATATATTCCATATATGTATCTGAAATTCGTTACCAGCCATCAGGTCATACGTTGTCGAACTATTTGCATCCTGGCAAACCGATGTTTTGAATAAACAAATGCTTCGAAGCGACCTCAAAAATAAAAATTCAGCGGTTTGAAATCTGGCGGATCTGTTAGAAAATTGTTCATTCATAAACTCTTTAATAATTCGGTACAAATGTAGCGTTGCATCGTCATGCATAAGTCACGTGTCGTGTTCGGCAATTAGTGAAACTCGTAAAATCTCACATGTTACGATACACTGGGTTTCCATTATGAACAATTTCCACCATTTATGCTATTTTAAATAATAGAAAGAAATTAAAATTGAAATATCATTCTTTCTCTTGAAATATCGCCATCGAATTCAACGTCAAAAATATCCTAAAACTGCAATCTCTCCTAATTTTAACGTGGAAACTACCCGTAACTGGTTTCCCCGTAAATGCCCTGTCTTGGTGGCGAAGATATTAAGGTGGTCTGTATTTAGCGGGATTATGAGATTAATGTTGTTCAGGAGTTTACAAGTACTAGGGAAGATATCGGCGTCTGTGAGACAATCAACGCGTTAACGGCATCGATAGAGGGTTTAGCGATACTTAACCCCTAGACGACTGCATGGGGTTCGCCAAGCCCTAATTTAATCGCTCTATATAAACAAAATCACATGGTATTTACAAGATCCCATGAACCCTAAAATAAAATTTGCGATCGATAAACAAGCGGTAACTCACCGATCGCGCTGTCGTCGACGCAGTCCGTCTGAAACTCCATTTTTTCCAAGTTGGAGCAGCCGATGGTGATGGTCGTGACCTCCGAGCTGCATCTAGAAATATCCTCCTCCCTCTTTTCTCTTCTTTCGGAAGAGTCGTCCCCGGAGTCGAGCTCCTCGACGTCCCTCCTCGTCCTCGACAGGTCGTTGTACATCATTCTCCGATAGTTCCTGCCCGACCTCTTCTTTGGCAGGTCCGAGCTGTCCGGATAGTCGCCGAAATAGTCCTCCTGGACCTCGAGGATGCTCGAGCCGTCGGAGTCGTCGAAGTCGGGCGTCCAGAATTGTCTGATCCGCGCGAAATCGTCAGCGTCCACCCGGAAGTCCTCCATTTTCGGCATTCTTCTCGACCTGTCTCTCTGCTCGACGGTCGTCGACCGTTTCTCGAGGTCGTGGGTTCTTCTGACGTTCGACCTCGATGAACCTTCGTTGGACCGTGTTTCCTCCGGCCTTCTGACCTTGGACCACGAGCGGTCTCGAAGGATGTCTTCGATGTCCAGGGATCTCTTCGAGGACGCTTCCTCCAGGCTGTGATCCCTGTGGCCTCTGTTGTTGCGGCTCGATCTGGCACGTCGACCCATTCGCTCGTGGACGAGGTACTCGTTGTTCGCCCGACGTTTCTCCGCTTCAAAGTCGAGCTTCCGGCCACGGCGATCCTCCTGCGTTCGTTCCTGAGCGTGTCGAACCTTTTCACGGTCCCGTCTGACGGCCTCCTGGTGCTGGTTCCTCCGGCTATCGCGGATGTTCCGCTGGTTCCGGTTCACCCCCGTTACGGTAAATTTTCCCAAGTACGGGCACGTGCGTAGCTCTGGAGAACTGGCTGAAATTCCAAAGAAAGTGCTCAATGAGATTTCAAATATTTATTTATATTTTCAAAACATAATCATCCATTTAAAGTCCCGAACATTAGCGAATTTCTACGATCGACGAACCGTGTTTCGAAGGAGGAATAATTTCTCTCGGATGCGAGGCACCTTCCGAACCGGTTAAAGTCCATTCCCGAATTTCAGGAAGCTAACGCTTCGATAAACGATCTATGTATATATGAACCCCCTTTAGGCGACTCCTTAAACAGGGACACTCGCAAAGTTACCGAGAGACATCTCGACCGGAGATCAGCTGAATTACAAATTACCCGCTCTAAGTACACCAAGTGGAATCAACAAGAAACTTTCGACGGTGTCTATCGATCTTCCCTAACGATGCTTCTTGCCCAGACTTCGATCCACTAGGCGGAAGATCGGTCATCCACCGAGCACTTGGGAAATTTTGGGCTTCACCCCTGGAAATTCGAGGGATACCTGGTTTCACCACTGATTAGAGGGCGAAATCTGACGATCCCACAAAAGTCATTCGACATCGTCGCCACTTTTCTTCGTATCTTTCACATATGACGACCCCGAGAATCCGTTGTATACGCAAAGACGTCAATCGCGAGGGATGCGGCGCTTTTGCTTTAATGAAAGCTCGTTAGATACCGGGAAGGAGAAAGAAGAGGGGACCAAGGGTTTATCGAAGAACGAAGAAGGATGACGAACTACTATAACGAGAGAACGTAAATCGACCATAGGCAGGCACAATGCAAACTCTAACGAGACAAATCTGACGTCGCACCCTCCGGTCAGTCCCTCTTCCTCTCTGCTTAGCGACAACCCCTTCTCCCGTAGGTATCTTGGCGATGCTCCGCGATGGAACATCCACCAAGCTTTCTATCCTCCTTCTTCGTCGTCTCGGAACCGCCACTCGCCACGGTATTATTTTCGAGCTTAATGAGGCGGCTGCAGTCATCCAAGAATCCAAGACGTTAAACAAACACCGTCGAGCGGACGTGACAGAATACTCGCTAAACTTTCGCCCGGCGTGCAGGTCGTGCTCGGCGAGGAGCCTCATCGATTTTCCACCCTTCGAATTTCACCCCTTTCGACGGAAGTCTCAGCTCTGCGCCTCTATTTGCAGATTTTCAGGATTTTCCTTATGGGATGTTTACCGCGGCCCCCCTTGCCACCGTGGCGTTACTGCTAGTTCCGGTGGGATTAGCATCCGTGACATTAACGCGTCCGGGTTGTACATCTCTGTGCCGAGTGGTCTGAAAACTACATGGGAGAACTTACGATGTTAGAGGTACGTAGCGAGATTAGAGGTAATGCACGCTTAATGGCAAGAGGTAGAAACAAAGTAACAGGCAATCGAGGAATGGCTCGTACGAGTTATACAGCCAGTCCCATAAATATTCGTACTCGTCTATTGAAAAAATTTGTTTAAATCAAATGGTAGGTTTGATGTTTCCATGTGTATGTTTGTATAAATATGTTGATGCATATATGTATGTAGGATTTGGGATGATCGAGGGTGGCGAATGAATTAGACATTAGACACACGAGAAATTGGTTAATATAATATAATTAGAAATATGAAATTGGAAAAAAGTATAAAAGAAGGTTGACGACGCGCACCATACGTACGCCTGTTTTAACCCACGACTCAATTAAAAAAAATCACAGACTCGCGCGCGCTGTTTGCCTCGACAAAAGAAAATCGCGTCCCGATACCTCGCGAAGGCGCCCGTAAAACGTCGAACACATCGACCACTCGATCGATGTGTTCGGCGATCGCAACATAACCCTCCTTCATGTATAAGTTCATGTACATATTTATAATGAAAAATTCATTTGGAAATATCAAAACTATTATTCAATTTACTCAAACTTCTTTAATAGACACAAATGGTACGAATATTTATAGAATTTACTGTATTTGTTTATACGAACTAGGTTTACGATTGGGCACGCGTAAACTGACCTAAAATCAGGGGAAAAAGAGAATCGCGTAACTCCGATCATTGTCCTTCGTCGTCGTAAGGTCTTTGTCCGTCGAACGATGGAAAAATTGATTTCGAAAGGGCTGACCAGAAAAATCTCGTTATTTTTATGGTTAATTAGACATGTATTGCGTCGGACCAAAGGCGACTACGGCAAAGCAGACTCGATTTTTCCGACTCGTTAGGCGATTCCCGATACGAACGTCCTGGCCAAAGGGACGGCGGGCTAAGGGCGAGATCCCAGAGTCCACCCTTCGGAGAAGAGAAGGGGACGTTCGCCCCTCTCTCTCTCCCTCTCTCTCCCTCTCTCTCTGTGTTTCGATCAAGAGAACAAATCGTGAACTTCGACGATCGTTAATTACGTTCGTCGGACGAAACTTTTGACAATGTATTGCGGAATCGCCCCCAATCTGCAAATTTCAATGGCAAAGTAGCGGAGTTCCACCAGCGGTCCCCTAAACTTACACTTCTCGTTCAAATTCGCCGTGAATGCTCGTGTCCTAAAACATTATATTTAAACGTAATCGAAATTTATCTGTCGCGCCAGAATATTTCATGGTTCCCATCGATTCCATGAATTGGTTAAATATTACGCGGATATTATTTCGAAATATCTATATTATAGTTTTATCCCCCGCGGGATAAGCGATTCAAAGCTAGTATCGCCGGATAATATTCACAATTTACATCAATCCGCTTCTGTTTCGAGCTGAAATTATCAGAGTGGACGGTTCAATTTCTAATCGTAATCCGAGGCTTCCAATTTCGCGCCACCTGGCGTGCGAATAAACGTACGGATTGAAATCCGGGGCAAACATCCATCAAGGCCCTCGCTACGTTCGAATTACAGGTTCGTGTTCAAGAACTCGAGAAAGGATTCGGCGAGTGTTCGGCGAATGGAAAGTTGGCGGGACAATTAAATCAAATCGACGGTCGCTTGGCGCGAATCGCGTGTCGATGCCATTTTGAAGGAGTAAAAGGAAACAGAAAGAGGCACGCTATCCGCTATCTAGCGGATCAAGCACGGCTCCTCGACACGGCACTTGGAACTTTTTAATTAATCAATCGCCACCCTTCTTCCCCCTCTTATTCACCTGGTCGAACGACTTCTTTGTTGCAGGGGAACGAAATGGCCGGCCGCGGGTCTAATCGATCGCGAAAATTTCCCACTTTTCGTTGTATACGCGACGCGATCGCGTTTGTTCCTTTCCCTTCGAGCAGTCGTGAAATTTAATTACGCGATATCGGGTCCCGATCGCGACGATGGACAGCCTATTGAAAAACGGGAATTAAATTTTGTTTTTCTATCAGAATCTCGCCGCAATTTACGTCCCTCTGGCAGAACCGAAAAGACCTATCTCAGCGGAGATATTTTTTTTTTTTTTTTTTTTCGTATATAACCGTGTATTCCGTGCGTTAGATCAAGGCTACCACGTCGATGCGATCTACGTTAACTTTGTAATCGTATCGCGCGCTAGGTGGAACGTATTTGCAAATGGAAACAGATACAAAAAAAAAGCTGGAAAATGTTGCGCCCGCCGAATATATTCTGCCAAATTCTTTGAATGTATCGACGATCGGTGATCGAAACGGCGGACTCGGTCGTTCATTGATAGGGGAAAAATGTACGAACCGTAATTCAAACAGCGTAACGAGGGAACGAATCGGATAAAAATGAAGACGCACCCAGGAAAAGTCGGAACATTTGCGAATATCTTGCAACGGGGTTTCCCGGTGATTCCATGGAAACGTGACGTTGCAGAAAACCACAATACGTTATAGAACACTTTTACGGAGCCCCAAATAAATCGCGTTAAAGAGCAAACACATTATTTACCGCGCCAGCGGAAAGGGACGATAAATATCCAGGTTCCTCTCCTTCGAAAGCCCGAGGGAATAAATCAGTCCAGGCGTAGGTACATTTAACAATCGTCAGCTTGCGCTCCGTTCAGTTCTTCCGGAAAGAAATCACTGCGGGGGTGGTTTCCCCGGGGCGAGGAGGGGAACGGGGCATGGGGGAGCTGCAGCGAAAAAGGACACGATAGAATGGCACGCCAATTATCTTTCGCGCGAGTCGGGGTCGACGCTTTCTTTGTTTCGTTCGTCCGGAAATGACGCCTCGATTCTCGGCAGAGCGATAAATTTCCAGCGGAAATAACTTTTGGCAGTGAAAGGGGGCGTGGACTGCCCTCCACGAAATAGGGACGACTCTCTATTCTCTCCTGGAAGGGGAAACAAGAACGGCCTACGAAAGATATTTTCCCTCCTATCCCCAGTCGAGTCCTGATTGTTTCAGGGAAAGGGTAACCTCCTCGATTTGCTCAAAATAATTTTCTATCGCGATGATAGTGAAGGTACTACGCGCGTGGTTGTGCTTAGAGTATTCAAAGTAACCCTAGCCAAATATAAAAATTATGCAGAGTCATAGGCAGCACTTTGAGAAGCGTAAAATTTCTACAATGAAATTTATAGGAGGTCAAAGAGACCTGGAATCGCACAGTTTGTAACCCAAGAACACCGCTGAACAATACGTCAAGGAACAGCGACGTTAAAATATTTCGATTCGCCAAGCAGCTTCCAGGAATACGAGCAACGAAGCGAGAACCTATTCGGGCGAGTTCGGGGAACACTCTTGCCCGGGATAAAGGCGTGTAAAAATATTTATGGGACACGGACGAAAATATTTGATGGCCGGCGAATGCGCGCGCGTTTATTAAATATTTATGCCCGTCACGCAGAACGTTTTCCTTTGCACCGCGTAAATTCGCTCTTCGCCCGTTGGTTCCCGTCCCTGCGAACATCCTGTTTTCCCCAGCCACGAAGACGCAACGTTTGGAAATAGGTTCTCCCCGTCGACGGAATTGGATTTTAATTCGCATTAACGTCCCACCGAGGACTCCAGGATTGATTTTCTCCTCTTTGATTTCGCTCAAACGAGTGCGACCAATATTTTCGCTCAGCCGCGGCCACCTTCGACATGGAACTTCTTTATTCTCACCATC